TGAGTTTAGCAGAAAGTTTGATAACTGTATGAATGATAAGGGCTGGCTTTGAGGTTTTTGTTTTATTTTTTAATAGTTTTAGTTTAGTTTATAGGATGGGACAGCCTTAGTGGACCAATAGGTCCCTTGTTGTCCCTAAACATTATGTTATGTTATAAATTTGTAATGGTTAAGTAACTAATTTGTGAATGGTTAGATTACTATAGGTTGTTTGTTGTTATTAGGTAAGTATATTATGTAAATTTGTTTTCTGGCTGAGTGAGTATTGTAAGGGTTGTGTACGTGTTCCAGCTATGTTACAGTGTTATGCAAATAGTATTTTCAGGTAATGTGATTATGTTATCTACAAGGGCATAAGTAGGTATAACTTTGAATTATGTACAGGTGTCAGAGGGTGATCTCTCCCTCCTACTGTTGGAGGTCTATGGGACCTCTCTCAGGTAAGTTTTGGAAGATTATTTGTGTATATAGTCTATAAAAACTTAACCATACAGACAATATAAAATATTATAAAAACTTACACTCTGAAATGAAATCCTAACCCCTCTGCACTTAATAGCTATTCTTAGCATGTCTGCCATTGAGATCTGGTGCATGCCATTAGCCTTAAGTTATCTCCCACCTGAGACTGGTTTTAATGTGAACTGTGCTAGTGCATGATGTAATCATCATGTGACAATGACCCTTCTCCAATAGAAGGGTGATACACCTTCCATGCACAGTAGATCACCATAAACACTTGCATTTGAAATTAACTTCATTCTGGTGCTGTTGTGAATGAATGTGTTTCTCAAAATTTAAATTTTGTTCAGTGTAGTGTGATTTGCACTGCCTTTATTTTATTTTAACATGCATCACTTTTCAGTTACTGTGTACAAAAACAAAAATCTGAGGATTCCTTTAATCACAATGATTTCTCAAGTGATGGTGACTACTACCTCCTTCCCAGCTCCTGCAAATGTAGCTAACACTGACCCTACTTTGTTTGTGGCCACTGAAGGCTCATTGACTGTGGAGGATGTCACTACCATTGTTCAGTGTGTCGTGAGTTTGTTATTGTCTTCATTGCCTCAACTTCCTGTCCCTACATCAGGAGTGTGTTCCCCTCTTTTTGAATATGACCATAAAGATGATGATTTTGATTGACTCTTTCCACCCCTTGGATTTGCACTAGGCTCCTCTTTACATGTAGAGGCCAATATTCCTCCTCCTGATCTCTCCGGATTTGATTTTTCAGGTTTGTTCTTTACTTTCTCTTTCATTTTGATTCTTCCTGTTCCTTACTCTCATGATGAGGATTGTGTTTTTTTCCTCCTTATTGAGATGTATGTGTACATGCTGACTCATTTCTGGATCAGCTTTGTTCACACTCAAATTCTTCATCCTCCTCAAATCCAGGATTTTTTTGTCATTGTTTATGGCCAGCCCCTTTTTTCATTTTTGGATTCCCAATCCCTGGAGTCCCTTTTACCCACTTGGAGGAGTTCCAATAACTAGTGCTCAATTTTCTCATCTTTGTCATTTTTCTTAACTATCTCCTTCATTAACTACCCTCTTATCATCTCCTCTCCAAAGCTCTATACCATTATCCTGATAGTTTTACTGGAGATCTATGGTTGGTATTTTTCAATACCTTGGCCAAGGTTTTGTCTTATGCTTTGTCCCTGGTTACTTGTCTTCTCTGTTGTTGGTACATGATGCTCTTCTCTCTGCTATTCATCTTCCCCATTATTACCTATGGGACCTCTGTTTGGCTCATTTTCTTTGCCCTGAAGTTTTCAGGGATGTTTCCTAACACCTTGGAAACTTGGGGTGAGGCTGCTTGATACCAGCCCTCCCTTTCCACCTTGGTTTATCATCTTCCACAACCTTGTGAACCTTCCACCTCTCTCTCTTTTCCCAATTCTCATTCTTTTACTTCTTCTTGCTGGCACCCTCCCATCGAGTTGCTGTCACATGTCACATTGGTAACTACTTCTCTATGTACCCAGTTGATCAGGCCCCATGGGAGCACACCTGTTTCTGTTTGTAGATCCCTGGTCTCCATTTACAGCTGATTGGTAGGTCATTCAAGCTCATGTGGCTTTTCTCTTCACTTTTTGTCTAATCCTCCTCTGTCTTTTTTTCCCATTCATTTTTCTCCAACTCTGATCCTCAGCATCTTCTGCATCTTGAGGCAGTGGTATTGGATAGTTTGGTCAAGAGAGCCATCAAGAGGATCCTCTGCCCTCTTCAGGGTTTTATTTTTGTTTGTTACTATCTCCAAAAATCTGAAGACTGGAATACTGTCGTCGGCCTTTCTTTTCTCAACTACAATCCAGTGGTTCCTCAGTTCAAGATGAAGGGATTTCTTCATCTCCATTGGTTCTTTTCCCCCATACTATGGATAACCTAGGTTAATGTCTTGGATGCCTTTCTACATAATCTGATTGCCTCGTCCTGCTGATGGTTTTCTTTGATTTGTTCACTAGAATCAAATGTACCTGTTTTTTATCTCTTCCCTTCAGCATTACTTTGGATCATTATATCTTCTACAGAGTCATTGAAGCATTTGTTCACCATGTTCACTGTCTGGAATTTTGTTTCTATTATTACGTGGATGACTGGCTCCTCCTTACCTCTTCCTTTTTTTCACTTCTCAACTCATTTGGGCTCAGTCTTCTGCCATTAATCTGCAATACATGGAGCAGAGCATATAGTCACCTCAACTTTTGCCTCTTCTATACTTCCTGTGCAAGAGGTTCTCTCTCTCTTTGGGGATTCTCATGTCTTTTGAATATATTGTCCCTTTAGGTGAAGCTCACATGAGGCTTTTTTAACGTAATATCTCCTGTAAGCCACATTCCTCTTCTGAGAAGGTAGCAGACCTTCTCTTCCCAAGGCTCTGTCATGTTGGCTAGATCATTGCTTGGTTATGATTCACTCTGACAATTTTATGATTGTTTCTCATATCAGATGTTGGGGTGGGACTTATTTCAGGGACCTTTGCTTCTGCACATCAGAATTTATGTTTTGGGCCCACTCATATCTTTGCTTGTGGCCATTGCAGGTCTGATCTTTATGCATTCAATGCCTCCCATACTTGGTTTAACAGATCATCCTAGGTCTTGTTCTCAACCATTCATTTCTTATTAGAACTTCAACGATTCAAGAGAGAGATAATTTCTTCCCTGTTGATCTAGGCTCTCTCTATATTTGTACTTATCCTGATCATCTTCTGTGTCCATTTCAAGCTGTCACAGCTCCATTTTGGAGTTCCAATGGTTATTTATTCTTGCCATGGGACCTCTCTTTTATTCAAGGGATCTCTCATCCCTTATACTTATAGGATGTATTCTTGACACATCTAGATAATTTATTCCTTCCTGGATGGAGATGCTGGCAGGCTGTATCACATCTTATCACATCAGATCCATCACTTGACTCACTTTCTGGCTTCCTACATTTTATGACCTTTGAAGAGATCTTTTTGTCTGGAATGTGAATTACATCCAACATCTTCATCTCCCATTACCTCTGCCTTCTGACAGTTTTGTCTCCCTCAGGATATCATGTACCTCCAGTGGTTTGGCCAGTCAGATGGGGAAAAATGTTCTATTATATAATGTATGTTGAGTAAATGATATAACAGAATACATACCAAATTGTATAGTATAATCATTACCCTAGCCCCACTACACCTCATGTCCATCTGACCTGTTGTGTACAACTGCTTGGTTGGTCATACACATTTTCACCCTTCCCTGCAATAAATTGTCTTTGCCTTCATTCCTTCATACTTCCATCTAGGTAAAGAGTATACTCTACATGAGATGGATGTGGTTTCCCATGAGTGGTGCTCCTCTAGTAATTGCCCACAGTAGGGTGTCACAAACCATGGACATTTCCCTTCAGTTGTCCTCTCTGAAGGAAGCTCATCTATGTTTTCACAATTGCACTGGCCTTTCTCTTTAACACATTAATGTGGGATTTTGAAAGTTAACATTTTTCTTACCTGAAAATGTATTACTGATAGATACTTTTCTCTCTGCATACTTTCCTACTCTTCCTCCCCACTGCCAGTGCACATTATTCTTGCCTCTTCTAAGAATGAAGTTAATTTCAATTACAGTAATTGAAAGGTGATCTATGTTGAAATAAAATAAACAAAAGTTAACACTGGAATAAGGGCAGCAAAAATCTCACTACATTGAACAAAGTTTAACGTTTGAGAAAACATCAATTCACAACAGTGCAGAGGAAAAGAATGAAGCTAATTTTGAGTGCAATTTCTTGTGGTGATCTACTGCACATGAAGGGGGTGTGTTGTTCTCCTATTGGTGGAAGGCTGTTGTTGCATGATGATTATCTCATGTACTAGTGCATTTCATGTTAAAACACATGTCTTAAGTAAGAGATAGCTCAAGGCTAGTGGTATGAGCAACATCTCAAAGGCAGACACATGAGGAATAGCTGTTGTGTGAAGAGAGGTAAGTTTCTATCAAAAATATATCTTCAGGAAAGGAAAATGTGAACTTTTGATCACTCTCACTTTTTAAAAAATTTTATTGGGATAAAACAATCAGATTAAGATTTCATGTCAAAGAAAATTTTTATCTTGAATTTTCAATGTTATATATGGGCATACATGCATATGTAAAGCTGTGCCCCTGATCTCACTAATTAAATGTGTTGATTAGATTGCTAGGTAAATGTAGAAATGTCATGATAAGGGTACTGCATTATGATGGTTTTAAGCATCTTAGAGTATTTAGTACTATAGTATTAAATTTAAATTTATTTCATGAGATTGACTGGCTATGAAACTGGGAGCATAGAATTTTCTGCAATTTAGTTAAACATATTGTTAAAATTCTAGATTATAGTCCAGGAAAAGCAAACATTTTGCTTTTGATTTTAAAAAGTTTCAGAACACACCATTGAGTTAAATAGCCTTTGATATTGAAAATCATATTTTGAAACATTAATTGACTGTAATGATGTGTGTTTGTACTTTGAAGGAGAATAGATGATGACCGAGGAAAAGCATATGACTTGGGACAGAGTGTAGTGAAATGCATGAGGGGAATCCTTTTTGGTTGGATGAGGCAATCAAAAGAAAAGGTAAGAAGTATTAGTATTTTGAATCTTCTAGTTCACTAGTGTGTAGGAAAACTCCCATGTTTTTTATTGTATACCATTAATTTGAAAAGTCATTGTAAGGAAAATTAAAAATTATCAGTTTCAAAGGTTATCAGAAACTTTAACACAAAATTTGTTTGTAAGCAATGTATAAAATAGCTTATGAATTTTCAGTAATTTAAGGGCATAACAAATGGTGAGGTGAATGAATGTCCTTCAGCCTGTAAAAGTTGACATTACATTCTCAAAAATCTAGTAAACATCAGAAACTAAACTGAATGTAGCTTTTTGTATCCATGTTACTATCCAACAGATGTTTAAAAGAGATTAACAATCCACCACATTATCAGGCAAATCATTCCAGAAGTTATTAATTCAACCTGAAAAAATTAATTTTGAAAAAAAATTAAATATAAATCTGTGTGTACTTGAATTATATCTAATATTGAACTTATGCAATTTCAACTTCTTCATTCTGCCACTAAGATAGTCCACCCATGGTAGGTTATACAAACCCCTCTGGATTTCAAACACATAAGTGAAATCACCTATTGTTGTTCTTTGCCCCAGAAAATACAAGTCTAAATTTTTAAGCCTCTTTCACGAATTAAGATTTTTAATTCAGGAATCATTTTTATTAGCCCATCTCTGCCATTTTTTAGCATCTTTTTTTATTCTGAATTCTGATGGAGTCTTCTTACTCCTGTAAGTAGATTTCAGAAGTATGTTACATTTTGTTCACTATAGATAAACACTCAGCTGTAGATTTTTCAGTAATTATGCTTTATTTTTTTCACATCATCTTTATTAAATTATTTCCAACTTTTCATCCCAAAGTGTGTAACTTCATATTTCTGTATTCAATTTAATTTTTTTACATTAGCCCACTCACTAAAACTGTCCATATTTTATTGAATAAAAGAAACAGTAATGTATTCATGAGGTGGAAAATGAAGTTTTATAATAAGTGTTAAAAACATGGACTTTTAAGATATTTAAAAAATTTGTAATCTCATCTCCGAAGCTACTTGTGCAGAACTTTATCCTACAGGTTCCTGCCCCAGACTTGTATATGGTTAACTGAAAATACTCAAAAATGGTTTATCCCCCCGACCTATTCTATTTACTCTCAGTTCCCATGCTTACAAGCTTGCTAAATATCTTGTACCTGCATTAAGCTCACTAACTGAGAATGAATTAACTATTGAAGACTTTTTCCTTTGCTTAAGAAGTATATAAATTTCCTAATGCAAACCAATTTGTTATGGCCAGATTTGATATTCAGTCCTTATTCACTAACATCCCTCTTGAGGAAACAATTAAAATAATTATTAACAGTTATAACTCTAACCAACAAAAAATTCAAGCGGCTCTTAACTTGTTCCTCAAGGACAATCACTTTGTTTTTAATGGTCATTTTTATGACTAGATAGAAGGAGTGGTGATGAGATCTCCTCTAAGTTGGACTCTTGCAAATATTTTTCTCTGCAAGGTTTATATAGGTTTTGGAAAGTCTTGTAAAGTTGTAGAAGCAATTTCCAGGGCCTGGAAAGTTTTGTAAAAATTAAAATTGACTCCAGGGTTTTGGAAAAGTCATGGAAAGTGAAAATTTTCTCCTCTCAGTATTATAAACCAGTGTTTTACCTAATTGGTTTCTTTGATGATTACATCCTCTAATATCTGATGGTGATGATCTCCTAAATTAGTTCTTTGTGTTTTCCCTTAGTGATGAGCATATGCTGCACACATGCATGTGTGAATAGAAACTTGAATTACTTCAGCAGTACAAGGTTGAATGAGGCTATCAATGTCTGAACCTTGCCATTCAAGCAATTATGTAACCACCATTCATCTGTTTTTCCATCATTATTTTTATGTTCTTTGGTAATGAATTGAATGTGAATTTAAGTAAAGAATGCTGTGCAAATGTATATTTAACAATGCATAGCTTCTGAAGGAGGAGTAAGAAGGAATGGCTTGTTACGGGTGCTCATTGCCAAGAAGCTTGTTGTAATGTGTGCCATAAAAAGTTCGATGTTGGCAATATGGATGAGTCCATGGTGATTAGTCATATAAAAGGGGAAATGCATGAGGCTAACTTGCATAAATTGCACTCATCAACAGCAGCTTTGCCAACCACATGCAGTTTATTATTGTCTGAATCTAGGCTGACACCAAATAGAACAAATTAACACGATGCCGTAATCAAGCAAGTAAGTGAATAATATTCCTAAGTTAAATTTATTATTAAAGAGAATGGGCCAAATTTCATTGATTTAAATTTACAATATAATTTCATAAAGTTGCATTATTTTGCAATTAGCCTTTGGATGATTCACTTCTTTTCATTTAGGTATCAGCACCTCATTATGCAGTTTATTCATTACAGGGCAGACTGGATTTTATGTTTCGAAAGAAGATGAGTAGGAAGCTGAAGTTTTGTGTGTCCTGACCATTATTTGCTGACACAGTTACAAAAGCTGTGAAAACAGAAAAGAACTGTTTAAAAAGATGTTCCGAGATAGTAAAATTGCATCCATATTTTCTTGTGGAGAGAAAAAATGTGCATATGAGGCTTGTTTTGGATTGGCCTCATATATCAAGTGAAATTTGTATCAAAAGCTTGGAAAAGATACAGGCTTTCTGCTCTTTGTACAACAAATCCTTAAATGATTAAACACAAAAAGGACCAACATGATGTATGTGTACCTTCAGTATTTTGACTCAGAACAAAATCTTGTGATGCTCAGTTTTTGCATTTCTCAGCCTAATTTCTTGGGCTAGTGATCTCTTAAGTCATTTCTTACAGCTGTCAAAAAGAGTTTAATCCTAGTCATCTTTTGCAAATAGGGATGAATGGTCCAAATGTTAACTGGTTGAACCTTGAGAACTTAAAATCAGAGTTAAAAACTAAAACTCTCCATCCCTTCCTACACACTAAGAACTGGTGTTAGTGACTGGAATGAGGTAAGTTGCGAAAAAGTGATCTTATTGTGTGCATACAATGCATTTGAGTGGGGTATATAAAGACTGGAGCAAGTGAACACAACGTTAGATTGCAAAGATGAAGATCAAGAAATAGCTATTAGTGTCAGCAGAGGTAAGTTTGTATGGAAATACATTTTCAGTTTATGAAAATTATAACTTCTGACTCTTTTTCTCCTATCCATAGCTCTTTCAATATTTGCATTGGACCTCGTATTGTTCTTCCATACAGTAACTCTACGGGTGAAAATCCTGTACTTGCTTGTGAGACTTCTTGATAAGCGAATAATACTGCCTGCAAGATCCTGTCCCACTCATGTGGTCTCTCTTGGCACATCTTCTTTATCATGAAGCATGTCTAAAGAACATGAAAATGAGACCAAGACGCAAGCTGGGAAAACACTCACCAGCCAATCAGCAGTCAGAATGAGTGTTTTCTTGAGATATGAGATGATGCATGATGTGGGTAATTCTCTCAGTGAGTAGTTAATCTGTGGATTGCTGTATAAATATGAAGCATATTGAAGAATAATTCACTTACATTTTTGTACAAAAATAGATTTCATCTCACAATGCTTCAAGAAAAGCAAAAATGAAAAACCTAACCTCACTTTCATGCACTGAAAATGAACAACAAAAAACTCCTTAATATCATATCTGCTGGACTCATGAACATTCAAAGTGACTCTGTTAAATGTGCAAAACAAAGAAAGATGGACAATTGTTTTATGAAATAAATTTAGTGTCAATTTGTAATATTTTACATGTATGAAATAAAAATGTGATGGACGTATGTTTTATGAAATAGATATGTAATGTTTTATTAAATAAATGTGATCAATGAATAAATTATTTTGCATAAAACATAAACAAAACAATTTTAAGTTGTTTTTGTTGAACTGTTATCCATCACAACTATTATTAATATTATACCAGTTTGCTATGTCATCTGACTGCCTATACTTTATATATATATATATATATATATATATATACCATTATGCTCAAGTCTTGGTAGTAGTGACTGGCATAGCTTGAACTCAGGCGTTTGTTATTCGGCTTTTGATCCTTTGAATAACGACTTCCTGTCATTTACAACTTTTTTTTTATAATGGCAGAGAGGTTGGTCATATCTAAGAGGGACTCCTGTCTTAATATATTTTCATTACAGGTAAAAAGTGTAGACAGCTATATGTTATTTTTTCTGATATATAATTGTGTTATGATCTGGTAATGTGAAAGACTTGTAACTGTTGTGTTATGTCTAATGCTTTTTTTTTATTATAAGAAATTTGTTTTTCTGTAGATGGAATGCTTTAAGATGAACCAATGTCCTAAACATGCATTGCATAGCAAACTTAACCTACATACAGGCCAGCCAGTTGTCACTAGTGATGAATATGGACACTTACAAGTAAGTAGTGTAAAAGTATACTAATTCGTGCTTGGGCCTGTATGTTTTATGTGTAGTTGTTAACAGTATTCAGTATAGAGTATACTTATTGTTTGTGTCTGTGTGTATTATGATTAAGGTTTAGTTTTTAACAGCAAACAAAAATAACACTAGTGCATTATATTTTACGTTTAATTATTAATCCTTTTCTCATTTGGGCTTGTGTAATTTGCAGAAATCAAGTCACGAATTTCACTTCTACAACAATACATACAGTAACTCTGAGATTACTTAATATATCCTCTCAAAAACTGGTAAGATTTTGTCAACGATTGTAAGTATCTTGTACACAAAGAATGACATTATTATGATTAAGTATTTTTGCTAAAAATTTATTTATTTATTGTAGTTACTTGCACTCAAACTCTTAACAAATCGAGTGCATGGTGATTTTTTATTTTAAGTATAAAAATGCTTTTCTTCATCTTATAGTTATCATATTTTATTTGAATAATCTCTAGAGCCTCCTAAAAGAATATCAAAAGTTTTTTTAAGGTAAATGTTTATATATTTTATTTCTCATTTTCTTTACTACATCACTAACTAAATATTATCATCAATATACAGTGTAAAGAAGTAACTAAGATTAGGAAATAGAAAAAAAATTTCATACCTTTTAATTTTTTGTAGAATATCTTTAAAGATTTTCCTTTTGTTAGAGTTGTAATTTCAGGTCTTTTCCTTTTCACATATAATTAATTTTCAATGTTTTATTTTCCTTTCTTGTTCTTTACCACTTATCATTAATCTAGACACAAGTCAATGGTGCCCTTGAGGCATATCACAGTATCTCTGACAAACATGCACAACCCTTTGGCAAATTTCAGGCACTGCATAATATCATAAGCCTTGGTAACTGATGCAAAGTATGATGTGTGTTTTAAAAATGTTTAAACATTTCAATGAGGCATTTTAAAACTGAACTAATACATAATTAACTAAAATATAAAAGTAAGACCTAAATACAATTGAAACTGTATCTAACTATAACGTATTTAGGTAAGAAACAACCATAAATACAATAGTCAATCAAGCAGCCAACAATACTACAGTCAGTTACATGTACTCTGTGACGACAACTGTGCACCAATTTCAAAATAACTGTTGTTTGACTATAGTGTAAAATGAGTTCTTTTTTTTTAATCACTATAGACATTTGTATGTAACATCTACATGTAGGCTATAAAGCTCAAATAAATCTGTTGAAGGATAATGTGGCATGTGTCAGGGGTTGAAAAAATGTATTACTTACTTCAACTGCATTTATTCAGAGAACTTTGAAATGTACAAGTCAAAAGGTTATGTAAGCATCTTATAGTCTAGATATACATCTACAGAACTGTCATTGCATGATACAGAGAGCCAAATTAGAGAATTTTTATAGCTCGTTTGTCAAGTGACAATACATTTGAAGTTTTAAGTTGTTTTTAAAGGTTTCTTTTGAAATAAAGGACTTAAAATTTAGATAAAATGAAAATTCAATTCATAACATATAATATTAATTTCATTCACATACACTGATAGTAAAAGTCGTACAGAAAGGGGTTTAAAGGGGCACTCGTTGCAAAAGTGTTACTAACAGTCACTACAGGATAATTAAAATTTGATTTAGGCTTGTATATATTAACAACAGTCACTAGAATATACAAATTCTTGTTAGGACCTGTGCATTATATCTTAAATTTAGTTATTAACAGCAGTCAGTTCATAATACTACTAATTATTTCTGTAGCTTTAGTTATTATAAAACACTCACAATAATATACAACTATTTTTTGTTTGGAATTATACATAATATTTTAGATTTAGCTATTAACAGCAGATGGTACATGATACTACTAATCATTGTTTAGACCAGTTCATTAGGTTTTAATTATTTACAGTAGAAAGTACATAATAGTACTCAGGTGTTAATTGGGGTGGAATGGTCTGGAACAGAGTTCTCACTTTTGAGGATTCAAGCTGGTCTTCTGATTGGAATGTCAAGGTCAATTAAAAAAGGGAGTTCCATATTTAACAAAATCCCATTTTAACAACTGATACTACTTCTTGTTTAAGATCAGTTCATTAGGTTTCAGGTTTAGTTATTCACAGCAGATAGTACATGATATTACTAATTATTGTTTAAACCAGTTCACTAAGTTTTAGATTTATTTATTAACATGAGTTAATACAAGATAGTAATGATTTTTACTTGAGGTTTTGTATTATGTTTTACTTTTAGATAGTATCAGTAGGCAAGATTTTTTTAATTCTTTTTATACTATGCTTTATATTCCAAAACATATTTACCTTCACTGACACTATAGCTATTTTTCGATCTCCAGTGTTTCCACTCTTTGCCCATCTAAGCATTTAAAATGCTTGCTCCAGTCTTTTATACCCCATTAGATTGCACCAACTTCAACCTCTATCTAGGTACTGTATATAAGTACCTCATTCAGATAATATAATCACTTTTTCATGACAAAGCATTCAGCAGGGGTTTCTATAAATAGGAGTGTTGTGATTATTCACAATTTATGTTGTGAATTTGAATGTGGTTTGCGTTACTACGGTTATATCTTCGTATATTTATAAATTACTTTAATAATAAAAATAAAAATCCACATACCGACAGTTATGAATTCCAAAGTTAATGTTTCTATTGCAGAGGCCATTCAGACCTCTCTTCTTCCTCCTCTGTTTTCTGGTATTTGTCAATGACCAGGGGAGGGGTCGCTCTCAGTCGAGGCTGTATGTGATATGATCCATGGTGAGATAGACACATATATACGAACTGAGGGTGTCTCTTTGGGGTTCTGACGTGGGTTTTGCAAATGACCTGGACCAGCTGAGAAGAATTTAGACTAGTTTTACTGGCTCCTTCTTTTACTAGGTCAGCCTCAACATAGTATCATCTTGATCAGTCTCCTCCAGCCCCTTTTTCTTCAGTTGGTTACTCGGGTTAGTAAGGTTTTGGGGGTCTCTCCTATTGCATTTGACTCTCTCCATTCCTTGTTGTCAGCAAGGACAGCAGTAACTACTTCGTTTTTCCCTCTTTCTCCTGATATTGCTGTTCATGCTGGGAGATTTGCCACTCAGTTACATGATGGGATATCTATGACTGGTCCCACACATTTATCAGAACAGCATGCTTTGGCTTATCACAGGCAGAAGGAGGTATATTTACATTCTCAATTAATGGACCCCTTTTGGACCAATGGGGATCTCAATTGGAACCTGTGATCACTTTGAACAGATCTCAATTTTCTCGGGTTAATTTTACTCTTACGACTGTCCTGAGGTATTCATCTTCGATCCAAGTTTTGTTAGAAGCCTAGACTCGTTGGACTCGGCAATTTGAGGATTTCTTCACTTCTTTCTCTAGTTTCCTGGTTGGTTTGTTGTTGAGATTTATTGGGTAGCAATTCTTTGTTAAAAAGTGTTTGTTTATCATCTTTTGCCCATGGGGAGTTATGGGAAGCTCCTTTTCTTCATCCCAGGTTGTTTGCTGGAGTTCCAGAGACGTTAGAATCATGATTTGTTTCAGTTTGTTTACATTCTTCTTTATCGTTCTGGCGCTTATTTGGGAGTGTCGGCTCTTGGTTTTTCCCGAACCTCTCCTCGATTCCCAGGTCTGTTGATTCTCATAATTGAGTCTGTCCGTATTCTCAAGGATTTTTGGTTCAGATTGACAGTCAACAACAGCGTAGGTTTCCATACCGTGGGCAGGGGAGAAGTGAGACCATGTTTACATCACTTTCTGATCATATGGAATTCTTTCATCAGGGATCCATGGGTATTCCATGCTCTGAATTTAGGGTTAGTCATTCAATTTACATTACCTCCACCTTTATCTGCACAACCGGTTGCCTTGTCACCACCAACATATTCAAAACGGGTAGAGCTTCGTTCCCAGGCTGTTAGAGAGTTGTTAGTCAAAAGGGCAGTAGTTGAAGGTTGATCCAGTTCTTCTGGGATTTGATTCCTATTTATTTGTTGTATGCATGAAGACAGGAAATTGGCATCAAATCATTGATCGGTTTCAACTCAACCAATTTTAGATCCTCCTCAATTTACTATGGAATCCTTTCTCAACCTGTAATGGCACTTTGCGCTAGGGCTCTGAATGACCAAGTTTGATGTTACCAATGCTTATCTCCATATTCCCATAGCATAATCTTCCCATAGGTTTCTCAGAGTTATGCACAAGGGTCAGGTTCTGCATTTCAGGGCTCTACCTTTTGGTCTTGCATCAGCACCTTATGTCTTCTCCAGAGTTGTTGGAGCTTTTTCTTGTCATTTACATTCTTTAAACCTGTACACACATGATTATATGGATGACTGGATTCTTCTGGTAGCATCCCATCAAGTAGCAGAACGACATTTTCAGAAGCCACAAAAGCAGACTTCTTTATCAGACTTGGAGAAATCTATTCTGTCACCTACACAACAATATCTCATCCATCTGGGTGTGTTTTTCAATACTTTTAGTTTGTGCTCAACCATATCCTACTACACAGATGGTTCTCTCTTTCTATTGGAGATGTGGGCATCCATCGAGTCTCTCATTCCTTTGGGATGAGCTGATATGGGATCCCTTCAGTGATCACTGCACGATCGATGAATCATGCTTTCCAATCCTTTGGATCATCCTTTCTCATTACTCAGGAGCAACATCATTGATTGCGAATGGTGGTTGGATCGGTCATTCCACCACCTTGTCTCAAGATCCATCTGTTCATGTTCACAGATGCATCTCTTCAGGGATGGGCAATTTATCTTTAGGGTCAGGAGTACTAGGGTATTTGGATGGGAGTCGAGTCTACCCTTCATATCATTGTTCTCGAACTCCTTACAGTACACTGGGCAATAGTTCAAGGTCTGTCTCTCTTGAAGAGAAATATTGTTATGTTACATTCAGACAATTACACAGTGATATCTCAGATTTCTTGTCAAGGAGGCACAAATTCTCAAGA